ATAGACTCCTTGCTCACATTTTAAATTTTTTTGTGTCAACATTCATTAGGCATATTGGTCTTAATTAGTTGTTCTTTAAATGTTTCATAGAAATCACTCGTAAATCCCTTTGGTCCTGAGGATTTTTTTTCCCCGTTTGGTATTCACTTATGTCTTGTTCAATTTCTTTCTCTAAGACTGGGTTAAGTCCTTTATTTCTGGTCCTGTTAAGCTGGGTATTTTATATTCTTGTCAATATTCATCTATTTCATTTAGGTTAGCAGTTTCATATTTGCATATAATTGAACAAAATAGTTTCCAATTATTTTATTTCTTCTTCACTGTGAATTCACTTTGCTTCATTTTTGATATTGATAATTTGTTTTCTTTTTTAAAAAATGTTAGCTAAGAGATTATCTATTTTAATTGTATTTTTAAAAAAGCTCCTAGGTTTTATTTTATTTTATTTTGCTTTTGATTTTAAGTTTTAATTTTCAGGATTTTTGTTTTGCTATTTAATTGGGGACTTTAATTTACACATATATAAAGTTTCATGCCAAATTCATTAATCTGCTCTTTCTCTCTTTTATTGATAAAAAAAACTAGCAATATAAATTTTCCCCTAAAGACTGTTTTGGCTGAATCCAAAATTTTCTGGCATATTGTCATGATATTGTCATTATCTTTAATAAAATTATTGATAATCCTGTGATTTATTCTTGGATCCCTATTTAAGAGGATTAAGTTGTTTAGTCTCTTCATCATTTCTTTGACATATCTTTATTGAATATAACTTAATTACACTGCAATCCATAAACATTTCTGCTTTTCTGCATTTATTTGTGAAAATACTTGGCCTATTTTTGTGAAGGTATCATGAAGAGCTAAGCAAAAGGTATCCTCATTTCTGTTCATTAATCTCCAGAGTTCTATCATATCTAATTTTTCAAAAATTCTACTCAGGTCTTTCACTTTTTTACTTTTTAGTTAAATTTCTCTAGGTCTAAGAAGGGTAAATTGAGGCCTCTCATTGCTATAATTTCACTATCTATTTCTGTAACTCATTTAATTTTTCCTTTAAGTATTTAGATGCAATGTCATTTTGTATATAGAGTTTATTATCAATATTCATTCATTATTTGTAGAATCTTTCAGCAAAATGTAGTTTCCTCATTGTTATTGACTCTTCATGACCCCATTTGGGGTTTGCTTGGCAAAGATAATGAAGTGGTTTGCCATTTTCTTCTCCAGTTCATTTTACAGATGATGAAACTGAAGCAAACAAGGTTACATGATTTGCTCAGGAAACGCAGCTAGTGTCTGAGGCCAGGTCTGAGCTCAGAAAGATGAGGTTTCCTGACTCGGGTCCATCATTTCATCCACCACACTACCTATCTGCCCTGTTTCCTTACTTAGATCTTTTGATGAAGTTTAATTTTGCTGCTGCTTCATCTGAAATCACAACTGCTACTCCAGCCTCCTTTGGCTAAAGCATGATAGACTTTGCTCAAACCACTTGGACTCTGTGTGCATCTTTTTGTTTCAAGTATATTTCTGGTAAAGAACATTGTTGGATGTCGCTTTCTCCTCCAGCCTGCTACCATCTTCCATTTTATGGGTAAGTTCATCCCATTCCCATTTGCAGCTATAATTGTTAATGGTGTTTCCTGTCTAAGCTATTATAATTTCCCTCTTTTTAAAAAAAAAAGTATGATGAGACAGAAGGACTGAGCTTTATCAGTGCTCTAGGTTTGGTGTAATCTGCTTCCTCTGCCCTTCTCTTTCCCAAACCTAAAATATTTTACTGATGGGGTGCATGATCAAAAACATTTAGAGATGGAGTCACTAGATCCTTGTACTCCTGTTTCCCAATAATTAAAATCTTGTGTATTCTGATCCTCCACATGACTAAATCTGCTCAAGACTCCTTTCACTTCTCAATATCTTCACCTCTTCCTCCAAACTCTTATGGACCAATCCCTGGCTCCCAATTATGACCAAGAACTGGCAAACCATTACACTTGCTCCTTTCCCAAGATGTCTTCCCACAAACCATCACACTTCCTCCTTTCCCAAAATGTCCTCCTACATCTTTCGTAGACCGATTCCTGGAAAAGTCAATGTTTCAGGATCTCACCCCGCCCCCATCCAACTCGAGCTGTAACCAATTCTGGGTGCCATGTGACATTCTCTGCACCATCTTGAAGAAAAAATAAAAAATTATGGAAAATAACAGGAGCTCAGGCTCCCAATCCACCACTCTTTCCACTGCCCTCCCATAATAACCAATGAACACCGTGTCTCCACCTTAAAAATAAGCTCCCTAGGGGCAGGAAATATTTTGCTTTCCTTTTGGTAACCCCAGTGCCTAGAACAGTGCCTGGCACATGTAGGTGTTTAATAAATGCCTGCTGATGGCCTCACAATGAAGGGGGAAGCACTCTCTGTACCTTACCCCCTCTGGGACCTGAAGCAGGGTAAACATCCCTCTCTGGGCCTCAGTTCTCTCATCTGTAAAATCAGGAGGTTGGACTTAGTGATCTCCATGGCCCCTCCTCACTCTAAATCAATGACCCTATGGGTCTTCTGTGTCCCCGTTAATAAGAAGTATCACGAAGAGTTTCACCTCTTTAATTACTTCTGCCTAAGCATCACGTACATCCCAAGCCACCAGTGGTGGAAGCTATGCTTCAAGGCAACTAAGGGTTCCTCCAGAGCTTTCTCCTATGGAATCCACACCTATTAATGAAAGAATTAGCTGAAGTAATCCAAGAGACAATGGGCATGAAAGTGAGTCTAAGTATAAAATGCATCTTCTGCATCAAGCAACATTATGATTATTTTGTCTGCCTTTTCTGTTTGTAATTTCTTCTCAACAAATTCATGGAACATTCAGAAAGCACCCTCTTTGTGACCCAGCACTCTCCTAGGCAGGCCTGGAGCTGCAGAGACAGAAATAAAGTCAACCTATCAAGAAGCCTGACATGCACTTCTTCTCAGAGTAAGACCTGAAAAGAGTCAGGGAGAGCCTTAGGCACCAGAAGAGTTTCCTGCAACTTTTGTGAAGATATCTCTCATCATAATCTTGGACTGTCCAATGAACAGAAATGGCTTCATAAAGAAAGGCCACAGAACTTGGAATGTTAAATAATGATTCAGTAATTTGAGTCATAACAATATTCTGGATCTTCTTCTGAAGATCTCCTCTCCCAAAGAAATGGGCTGTTTGTCCGTTTTCGAGAGAAAATGGGAGAAAGAAATAAGGCTCCTCAAGGACAGCAAGAAAGACAAAGTAGGCATGAGAAGAACCCCCATAGAATGAGAAACAGAAGCTGAGGCTCCTTCTCAAAAGGCATGGCACTGGCCCAAGTGTCCCCAGAGGCCTCCCTAAGGACACACAGCTTCAGGAAATGCACTGAACTCTGCTAAGTTGGAAAAAAGAAACAGCATTTGATACAGCAGTGAGCCACTTATAAAACCGATGACCTTAAGAGAAGCAGGGCCAGTCAACATCCCAAGAGGCCAACTTATAAGCCTCACCAAGGCTTGGGTAGACATCCAGCAGACAGGACCAGATTCTTCCCCAAGCACGCAGTGACTCACCCTGAGGAGGGGCCCAAGGCCACCACTGAATGAGTAAATCAACGGCACTGTCCCTGCTGTGAGGGCTCACTGGGATGAATGAAGCAAGGGCTTACTCAGTCAAGTCAACTTTGATAGAGCACAAAGAAGCTGGCCCCAGGGAGGAGCACTTTCGTCATAGGGCTGTGAGCTTAGTAAGGTCAACAAGTCAGGGAAACAATGCCCAGGTCACTGAAAATACCTGGGAAAAGTACTTATACACCATTCTGCATTAAGAGGGGAAGGAAAATGCCAGCTTCTAACTGGCTCATGTTTAAGTGGGTCAACATCACTACAAATATAGCACCACCCAAACTCCCTCCCTGGGCTCTCCCTCCCACATTTTGGTATCAATCCCACAATGTGGTTTTTCAAAACCGAAATGAATCTCCCCCCAATGTCAGCTTTAGAACACGCAGCCCAACTGACAATCTGTGCCAATGTCTCCAACACATCCCCTGGCCAGTGCTGACGCTACACTCCAAAGAGGAATGCTGGCCCATAAGGACAAGTATTTATTTCACAAGCCAGTATTTTCAAAATACCCACACACACTCACGTATACATGTAAGTTTTTCATACTGTCAAGGTGCATCTAAAGATAGCAGAATACAGCTCTGAGTTCAGCATTTCATTCACCTAAATGATTCCAAGAACCACAGTATAATACAAGCCTGGCGCTTCTCCTTCAATCAATACAATCCCCTAAGAGTCCCAGCTTACAAACATACACATAAAATATTAGCTTTATATATTTGGAGTAGAGAAACTGAACTAGCAAGGTAATCAATCAATTTTCAATTACATTTGGCATCTCGATAAGATGATAGGGCATGCACTAACCACTGACAATAGGGAGCTAATGAATTAGGATGTTATGAATCCCTTGAAGTATGTAAATCAGGACTGTTATTTTCTAGCCGAAATGCAGGATGTTTCTTCTTTTAATAATTTATCTAGACAATATGTGCTTGTATATTCACACACACACACACACACACACACACACACACACACAAACACACACACACACACAAGACAACTGAAAGCAAAGTCTAATTAAAGCCAAAGAGTTGACTTTGCATTAAGGTATTTCAATGGGATTCAATGTAAATAGCCCCTGTTTGTATATGTCTACAGAAAAGTTATTTAAGATAACTGGGAGAGAGAGAATTCCCTCTTCACTTAACTCCATACAAATAAGACTTCAGCATCCCTTATAAGAAAAGTGGGTATGCATTTATAGTACATAGAAATCGTGGCTAAAATCCATTTCTTTAAGTGATCCAGACTGAAGTTCAAAATACACTTGTACAAAACTGGGATTTTAAAGCTTTACTATCCTTTGATTTACACTATCAAGTTTAGCACATGAATGGTTATCCATACTGCATACTTACAATGTCAAACTTCTGAGTGATATTTCCTTGGACGTCGAGCAAATAAACCTTGCCATAATGTGTGCCCAGTGCCAAAAACTGTAAGAAGAACAGAAAGGTCAATTAATCAACACAGGATTAACACACATTAAGTAAGCCAGTTTTGAAAGCCAAGCTACTTAATGGGTGAATGATTAGCAATGTGTCAAACAAATGCACAATTTGGACCAGGGTGGTTTTAGCTTCTCTGAAATGACAGAACAGAGCTAGAAGCTCCTATTATTGGGACAGTGCAAGCTGACTGTCAGGATGAGTCACGAGGACCCTCATCTACTGACACCTAATGGGATGTCTGTAGTCGGCACACAATGCCTGATGGTCTGTGGCAGCAAATTAAAAATGCAGTGTGAAAGAAGGCAGGGAGCCCTACACACACAAAAACAATCACATAAAAGGATAATGGCCAAGACTGTTACAAAATATTTACTTAAGAGTCATACATTCGAGGTCTGGGCAGCCACTTAAGAGAAAGCTGAAAAAAACCCAAGCTTTTCTTGGATCATTTTTCTACAGCTCACCCCCCCCCCCCGGAAATTGAAGATCAAAAGAATCACAGATAAGATTTTTTGAGTCAGTTGTCATTAGAGTACAACTCAGAAAGTCAGTCTGGAAGGCTCTGGGTAAATCTCCACTTTCTACTTACAATGCAAGGTCTTTGTGCATCACAAAATTACTGTAGTAGAATACATACATTTGGCATGTACAGAAGGCAAGGAGAGGCAAGCATGCCACAGGGACTTGCCCTCCATGAACTAACCCTAAGTCAACCAGAAGAAACTTCAGGACTGCTTGGAATACACCAGAGAACTCAACACCTTTTTCTTTTTCTCAGCATTCTGTCAATGGTCTCAGCCCCTAAATTCTTAGTATTTCACTGCATGTAAGCATGCTTCATTGCAACCTATAATGAAATGCTCAAATTTACAGGCACTGCTAAGCGTGTCAGTCAAGCAGCTCAATCTTTAAAAAATAACCTTACAGAAAGTCAAGGTTTAAAAGGATTTATCAAAATGGAATTGCTTAAAATGAAATTTCAGCTTGGGCACTTAAAATATGAAGCTCCACTAAAGAGGAGTCAAGAAAAAAAAAAAAAGGAAAAGATGGGGTTCATTAGAAATTCATCCCTTGCAATGCCTTTCACTCCTGCAAGGTTGCCTTTTTTCAGGAAGAAAAAAGTCCCCCGGGTACAAAAATCAATACTGGTTAATAAAACATCAGGTGTGCAGACATAACTAGGTATGACTATTCCAGTGCACAAGGCCTGCTTGAATGCACCAGGTGTCATGACGATTAGTCATCCAGTGCAGACAGCAAGCCTGGTGAAAATATGATGCCTTAGCACTTGGGGGCCGATGGGGGAGAGCATTCCACTGGGGCAGGAATCTAAAGATTTAAACCAGACTCGGATGGTCACTACAAAGCCCAATTAATCCTCATCAGAATATACCCTGATGATACTCAGCTTAAAAGTCTGAAAGATTTCACGATGCCACTTTGACAGCGTCTGCACCAACAAAGAGCAACCTGTCTTAACAGCCAAAGGAAACCCTACCTTCATTTTGAGGCCCCCACAGAGGAAAAACCTTGCTTTCTCAAATGCCACTATACTCCAGGCATGGAACACTACTGCATCTCCCTACAAATATTCCTTGTTTTGCTTTGGAAAAAAAACAGAAAACAAAAAAAACCCTTGGGTACATAAACAGCTTTGCTACATCACCCTCCCACATCTCAGCTAACTAATGATTTTTGTGCTTCCACTGTTCTGTGGGCCTCCTAAAAACTAAAAAATAAATTCTTCCTTAATTTCCAAAATCATGTTTGTTTGAATTTTGAATAATAAAATAAAAACGACACAACCTACTTTCATTCCAACGGGCTCCAATCTGAAACACTGTATAATGCGTTTAAAGGACAAATTAACTAGAAAGCCCTTTGGAAACATCTAGAAAACACCCCAGACCGAGTCTGATCAGGGAATCCGAGAGAAGACTCACAGTGAGTCATTTTTCTAGCTCGGGCTGATACAGGCAACCAGACAGGTATACAGCCAGAAAAGGTCGCTTGGGGCATTCAAGCATACAAAGAGGCTGGGAACCAGGTCAAGAAAAGGGCCCTAATCCAAAAGAGAGGGGCTTAAGCTAGGGCAGGTACAGGAAAAGCTACCAACTGACAGCTCACAGATACAGGGCTGACTGAGGAATGGACCTGAGTGGACCTGGAGCTGGCCTGCATCTACAAGGTAAGACAGGGTCAGGGACCCTATGCTGGGCACCAAGAAAGGAGCAAGCTCTGAACAAACCCCAGAGAAAGACTAGTGAGCTTGGCAGGAACCCCAGAACAGAGAAGAACCCTGCAGCCCTTCTGAACCAGCAGAGCATTCCACCTGTTTGACAGCTGCCGAGTCTACTGAAACTCCGACTGGAGCAAGCTCACAGGCATGAGGCTTAGACCCAAACACTCAGGTCGTGAACTGGAAGAGCTCAAACACGAAGGGCAGAAATCAGACTCTGCTCTAAATCAAACCACTTTAGGAATGCTGGAAGCTTGCAGGTTCCCAGCTGACTTGTTCCCTGAGATCCTGGAAGAACATAACACTCAACAACCCCAAAAAGCATCAGGAGGACCAGCCCAGATATCTACCCCAACCCTAAAAGCATACAAGCTGTAACATGAAGTCTGAAGTAGGCTAGAAGAATGAACAAACTAGAAAACAAAAAAAGAACTCTACCATAAAAGCTATGCTGACACAAATGCTCAAGACAAACTCAAAAAAGAATGGCTCCAAATATCTACAAACAAAGCCTCAAAGAGGGTCACAGAGCTCAAAACCCAAATTCAACTAGAACTCCAAGAAGAGATGAAGTAAAAGTCGTCTGAGTTGTCTGTTTTTTGCTTAGTTAAAAATGTTTCCATAAATGAAATGATAGTAATAGTGGAAGAAATTGGAAAAGAAATGAGAGCTACAGAAGAAAAAGCTAGAAAGGGAACTAACAGCTTGGAACAAGAAATACAAAAACCTTTCTCAAGAAAAAACTCCCTGAAAATTATAATACCCCAAATAGAAGAAAATGACTCCATCAGACAACAGGAATTATTAAAACAAAGTAAAAAAAAAAGTTTGAACAAACAGAAGACGTAAGGCATCTAACTGCAAAAACAACTGCCCTGGAAAATATAGCCAGTAGAGATAATTTAAGAATCATTAGATTACATAAAAGTCATGATGAAATAAAGAGCCTAGACAACTTATTTGAAGAAATCATCAATAGAAAACTACTAAAACAGCTTAGAACTAGATAGCAAAGTAGAAGTAGAAAGAATTCACTGCTCACCATCTGAAAGAAACCTCAAAATAAAAACTCTCAGAATATTATAGACAAAATCCAAAGCTTCCATGTCTAAACTAAACTAAAAATCCAAACAACCAGAAAGAAGTCAAGTACCGAGGAGTCACAGTCAGGATCACAACTGACTTGGCAGCCAAACACAATAAAGGAGTGGAAAGCTTGGAAGATGCCATTCCAGAAGGCAAAGGATATAAGCTTACAACCAAGAACAATCTACCCAGAAAAACTGAGTATAATCCTAAATGGAAAAAAGCGGACCTTTAACGAAATAGAAGACTTCCAGGAATTCCTGATGAAAAGACCACAGCTGAGTAAAAACTTTGAAGTGCAAACATTAAGAGGCAAGAGGAATATTAAAAAGTAAATATGGGTGAACAATCATAAAGGACTCACGAAAAACAAATTGTCTACATTCTAATATGGGGAGATGGTACATGTCCCCTCAGGACCTTCATCATTATCATCATCATCATCAAGAATCACAAAGGTTATCTAATTAGACAGAGGGCCTGGGAATTTTCTATTATGTTTTAATAATCTTAAAAGAATGGAAAGGGAAGGTAAGAAGAATACTTTGGGGTATGGAAAAAACGTTAATTGAGAAACACAAGTAAAAGTCTACGAAATCAAGGAAAAGGGGTAGGGGGGAGCAAGTGACACTTGAACTTCACTCTCATTTGGACTGATCAAAGGAGGGGAAAATAACACACATGGCTGGTTAAAGAATTACATTTAATTTCAAAAGGGAAAACTGGGAAATGAGAAAAGGGAGAGGAGGGAATAAAAGGGAGGGTATATTAAGGATTAGTCCAAAACAAAACAAACTCTAAGGGCATGCAAATGTATTTACAGCAGTTCCTTTTGTGGTTGTAAAGAATTGGAAAATGAGGTTGTACCCACCAATTGGGGAATGGTAGAACAAGTTATGGTATATAAATGTAGTGGAATACTGTTGTGCTGTAAGAACGATGAAGGGGATTGTCTGAGAAAAATCCGAGAAGACTTGTATGAACCAGTTCTGAGTGAGGTGAACAGAAGAGTTTATTTAGTGACAACAATACTGTAAAGAAAAATAATTGTGAAAAGCTTGGAAACTGATCAACACAATAATCAACTCAGATTCCAGATGAAACATGCTACCCACATCCTGAGAGGGAGGTGATAAGACTCAGATATAGAATGAGACATATTTTTTCTAGGACAAGATTAATGTGAGAATTTGTTTTGTGTGATCATATGTGTTTTTAACAGGGGTTTTAATTTTCTTTCTTTCTAAATTAGGTTTCTCCACTAAATTGGTGGAGGGAGATAAGAGGTTAAGATAGAGCGTTACTGACTGAAAAATAATAAAATTTAATTTTAAAAGTATATATTAAATCTAACAGGAAAACAAGCAAGGACAGGGAATTGGGGAAGATAAGAAGATAAAAGTGACGAGGGAACAGCTATAAGCAAAACAAATTTCTTGATCTTGAAGGACTAAAAGGAAAAACAGAAAAGCAAAGACCTAAAATCTGAGGGAGTGTCCATCAACTGGCAAAGGGCTGAACAAACTGGCGTACAAAAGTAACAGAATACCATTGCACTGTCAGAAATGATGAAAGAAAGAGATGATTTCAGAGAATCCTGAGTACATGGATCCCCATGGTATGAACAGGAATTAAGTCAACAGCAGAACAATTTACACAAGGACAATATTGTAAATAAAAGCAACTATGAAAGACCTGGCAACTTTGATCAGAGCCATGGTCAAAGCAACGGCCCACCGCGTCTTCAGTGGACAGATAATCAAGCACGCTGCCCACCTCCTGGTAGACAGGTAACAGACTTCAAGAGGAGATGGGGACAGATGCTGCTGGACGTGGCCACTGTGTGAATTAGTCTGGCCTTTCTAAGCTTCTCTGTGACAACACAGTGGGTGTGTTTGGGTTTGCTTTGTTTTTCTCTCCATTTTTAATGGGAGATGGGAAGGTTGGGAGAAAGAGGTTGAAAATCAGTGATGTTGCCTTCCACCTCCAAAGAGGGCATTTTTAAAAATACCCAAAAAAGAAACAGAAGGAAGAACAGATAAGCAGAGTAGTTTTGAAAGTAATGTGGAATTATATACTGGAAAAGAAAGTGGTATGTGACACAGGGTTCACTTTTATATACAATCCTCTTTATGTTTTCCTTTTTTCCCCCCACATACACAGAAAAGTTCTTTATTTTTGGTATCAGAATTCAAAAGAAAATATAAAAACTTTTGATAAGGCATTTCTTTTGTTTGAGAATTATCTATTAACATTTGGGTTGAGATATATCATTGCCCTAACTTTTAGATGAGTAACAGTCAGAGCCCTCCAATCAATATAACTTTATAAAAGTGAGTAATGATACCTATAGAAACATCTAACTAAATATTATTGATGAATGTCATTCTCTTTTATCCCTTGATATTTTCATTTACATTTTTTTTCTCAACAACAAATAACAAAGATGGGCATTTTCATATAAATTCAAATAGACAACTGTAAATCTTCATGCTGGGTTTTCTCCTCCCTCCAAGTAAACACATGCGACCTGTTACTTTCAAAACTGGCCTGCTTGCACGTATCACCTAAGGTTTTCTAATTGCTTAAAAAGCAAAATTTACAATGCAATAATTAAAATGGTCGACACATAAAGGAATCCGCAACATTCAATTGTTGTAGCAAAATCTAAAATCTAACTTACTTCACTTCAATCCTCTCTCAATTCTTAAAATGTTCCGTGCTTTCACTATTATGATAGCTTCTCTCTTTGCTTAATCTTTAGAGGCAATTCAAACCATTAACAGCAAATGGAGGAGGGCCAGCTGGGGAGGTGGTGAGCATCACAGGATTATCTATCAGAGAAGCTAACTGGACAGCTCCAAAGTCCCAGACAGACCACCTCCTCCAACCTTATTTTACAAATGAGAAGGTGGAATGACTTGTCCCAGGTCCCATAGGCGGAGATGGCAGCAGGATCAACATCCTGGTCCTCGGACTCTACAGCCGGGGCTAGCCATAGTGCCACACCACTACACAGGAAGCTCATTTTTGGCCACATACTCTGGGAGCTGCCAGCCCACCATCCAGAGATGGAGATGTCCAGGGCTCAGGTAGAGGGGGCCTAGAGTTCAATGGAACAACGGGGCTGAGGATCTAGAACAGAGCCGGCTGCACGGTGCCTGGTACTTGGCGGACCCTTAATAAAAGCTTGCTGATCAATGGGCTATTCTCCACACAAGTGGGGATTGAACCCATGGAACAGATGAGATTTTCAAGGGCAAGAGAAAGAAGGTCGAGGATGGAGCCTTGAGGGACACCCCACACAGAAGGGAAGGGAGCCTTGGAAGGAGACCAAGACACAACAGTCACCCAGACAGGAAGGGAACCAGGAGAGGGCTATTAACTGATGAATTAATATGACTTAGTTGGCTCCTCTTGAGATTAGAAAAGCCTTAGTTATTGGACAAGATATAGAGGCAGCCAGATGACACAGTGGATCGGGTGCTGGGCCTGGAATCAGGAAGACGTGAGTTCAAATCCAACCTCAGACATTTACTAGCCACGAGATCCTAGGCAAGCCATTTATCCTCTATCAGTTTCAGTTTCCTCAACTGTAAAATGGAGATAATAAAAGCACATAAAGAACAAATGAGAACATATTTATAAAGTGCTGAGTGCAGTGCCTGGCACACAGGAGGTGTTCAGTATTTGCTTTCTTTTCATATGAGATGCGAATATCCAATTCTTCCAAATCCAACCCACAGCCTCTTTTTTTACTGCCTGGAAGCTAAGCATGGTTTTTAAATTTATAATAAAGTTTTACTATATTTAAGAAATCTAAGGGGCAGCTAGGTGGTGCAGCGGATAGAGCACCGGCCCTGAAGTCAGGAGGACCTGAGTTCAAATCCGGCCTCAGACCAAACACTTGACACTCACTAGCTGTATGACCTTGGGCAAGTTACTTAACCCCAACTGCCTCACTAAAAAAAAATAAAAAAGAAAAAAAGAAAGAAATCTAAGAATCATTCTTGACTCCACAGTACCAGACCAGGTGGTGGGCTACGGCTCTCAGGTTCGCCAACCTCCTGCTCTATACCATTCTTTGATATAATGAAGTTTATTCTGAGTGACTCTGCTATGGACAAGTAAATAATAACTGTGAATGATGCCCAGTTCAAGGGACACATTTTGTTTTTAAATGAAGAGATCCAGACTGAGTTTATCACTGCTAATACTGACATCTATCAGACACTGTCAAAGATCTCCAATTTCATTAGTGGTGGGACTCTCACTGTCGAGGCGTGGCCCCAACTTGATCCCCAGACTCATGAAATCAGAGATCTCTGAGAGGGCTGGGCATACGTTCTTAATTAAACTGGTCGAGTGATTCAGTCGGCTCAATTGCTTTGTCATCTCCAAACCAACAATCTGGCACGTTTACCAGACTACACAAGCCTGTTTAGCAGTGCTCTGTCTCAGCTGAACACTCAATAGGTGTTATTTTCCAACCCTTTCTTAGGTAATGACTGGAGAGAGAGAAAGAGAGAAAGAGAGAGAGAGAGAGAGAGAGAGAGAGAGAGAGAGAGAGAGAGAGAGAGAGAGAGTGTGCGTGTGTGTGTGTGTGTGTGTGTGTGTTTGGATCTGTGATTTCACCAGTTTAAGGAATGCCCAGTGTGGCAACTTCCTTCACCAAGGCAGATCTCCCATTTATGGTCACAGAGGGATGCTGGGGCCCCAGAGTGCCTCAATCACTTTTTTAGTCACAGTCAGTATCTAAAGCAACTCCACCCACTTAGCTACAGGGCTTTTCAATTCCTAGATGACTGTTTGATTGACCCCTCTACTTTGGAAAGCAAACACTATCTTGATAAGGCAAAAATCATCATAACAATAAGCTAATAAGCCATTCACAGCTATCATCATTCAGCAGACTTCCTGGGATTATGCCCCAAGACCCAATGTGTGGAGAAGTGGGGGAGATCCTGCACAAGAAATCCCAAGAGCTGATGCCATCAGGCTGCAGGAGAGACTGATACCTTCTCATGCACCGTCATACAGCTGGCGGCATCTTTCTGTAGAATTTCAGTCACCCCATTGGAAAGTCGTTCATATCTCAGTTTGGGCTCCTCTTCACTTTCTTCTTCCTATGAAAGAAAGAGACAAAACAGCCACCATCACATCTCGACCGTGAGTAACCTTGAAGGAGCCAAGTCCACACCATGGAGGACACACAAAAAGGGAGCCATCTCACAGGGGCTCTGCCTGCACAGACACCCACATCCCACTATGTCAATCTGCTATATATGTTCACATCAAAAAATCATAATGTGACAGGACACTGAACAGCCTGCAACAAGGTAAAGAATGGATAGGGGAGAAAAAGTTTATTAAACAAAATTATCCATTAAAAAATAATAAATGCACCAACATGGCAGGTGACGGATGTCTCTATGATGTGCCTACTCAGGCCTGTTTCATGGACCAGACACGACCTCGCATGTCCATAGTGTCTTGCCTGGTCTCTGGCCCCTAGTAAGTGTTCTCTTCCTTCACAATCTGTCTTAGATTTCTTCATCTGAGGATCCCTCCAACTGAATGAATGGAAGCTCCTTGAGGGCAGGGACTGTTTAACTTGGGGATTCATATCCCCAACACTTAACCTAGTCCCTAGCACTATGTTGGGACTTAATAAATGTTTCCTAAATTAGATAGAACTTACAGCTCCAAATGGAAAGGGGCAAATGCACAGAAAACCCAAGATCTCAGTGTACAGCTTCAACTCCAGGCTGAGACAAAGCCTTCGATTTCAGAGATGAGTGTCACTGGCAGCCCCCGATGCCCTCTCTCCTCGCCTCAAAAGCCATTCACCACCCAAGCTCATCTCACTTAAGGTTCAATGCAACCCCACGAAGCTGGCAGGACAGCTCTTTCGGTCCTATTTTACATGTGAGAAAGCAAAGGATCTGAAAAAAATCAGGCAGCTCCTTCCCTGAGGAGTCACTTCCAGATGCCCCTTTGGCTTGGGGGCCCAAGCAAAGCTCACCAGAACAGGAATGAACACAAATCCTTTCCAAGTTTATTTTTTAAAATTTATTTTACTTTTAATTTATGGAATAAAACAAGCATTTCCAAAACACTGTATAATAAAAGAAAAAAGGATGATTGCACATGAAAGTGCAAATCTATTATGTACAACTTGCAATAGCAAGTTTTAAATATACAACAAAAATAATAACATCCAACAGAAATATATTTAACAAATGCTTATTGACTGAATGAGCAACGACACCAGAGCATTTTAAAATACAGAAGAAATCAAAGGCATGCTGCAGAAACAGGAGCACAGACAGTGAGCGCTTTGAAAGCACATGGAAGGCCGGCAGCTTTGAGAAAGCCAAATAGGCACATCTATGGAGATGTGTGCATGTGTATGTGCATACACACCCAGAGAAACACACATTTGTGATTAATGTAGCAACACGGGCAGCTTCTCTTGATCAAACCTAAACTAATAGGGTGGATACTACTATGGAATTTAAAAAACACTGAACACCCACTAGATGCCAGGCACTATGCTGGGCCCTGACAAAAATAAAACCGCCCCTGCCCTCAAGGGGCTTCCAGTCTGCTGTGGATGTCGTGGAAGGAGGATGAGAGTGCACAACATAGAAGCAAAATGCAGAACATGTCCAAAGTAAAGATAAGGTTCTTCAGAGAAAGGAGAGCATCTAGCAGCTGAGGGGGATTCTGGAGAGGAGGCACAGAGGCTGCAGCTCGTGAGCCCATCTTTGAAAGGAGCTCGCAAGGGGAAGAGGTTGCCCCACGGCAGAAGTACATTGCTGGCATCATTTAAACTTAGGACAAAAAGAGGCCAGGCCAGCCCAACAACAGAAGACACTCCAAGACCGATGATGGATCAGGTGACAGACAGGTCATGTGGCACACATGGGTTTTGCTGATTTTTCGCGATCAGCCTAGTGAACTGCATGGAAACCACGCCTCAGAGTCAAGACGGATTCTAGTCTCCTCTGAGGCATCAAGACCAAGGGACTTCCCAGTGTCCTGTTCACAGCCAGAAGACGATGCCAGAAGTTGCCAACCAGTTACTGATCTGATCTGCTAGAGGGTTTTCCTCACCAGGACATCACCACATCACTGAAATCATGGACCAGGAAAAAAGACGCTTTTTGGAGTGCTCCATCCTGTGGCCACACAACAGCAGCTCACAGCTCCAGCCACCATGGATCACAATGTCCTCTGGCCAGCCTCTCCTGGGGACAAAAGGTAAGCAAATGGGCTGAGAAGGCCTCGAGGAACGGGAATCCCATCACCAGGAAATTCCAGGTAGCAGGAGCCAGCAACTGGGGCAGGAACTAAAAAAACAGCACAGGACAGAGTAATGCAGCAACCCTGGAGGATAAGGATGCCTTTGGATGTCCACATATCCAGCTCACAACTAGTTCAAAGCAGCATGGATTTGTGTGAGTCTATTTGACATAAAAACAGACAGTTAAAAATACTGGTAATTTTAGAAATTAGGTTACGTGACAGTCCAAAAGCAAACCTAAGGTGAAATATGGAAGAACCAGTGCAATATGCAATGTATTCCACTTCAGTCTCAATTCTTTTTAAAAAAATATGCAAATCTCTGAAGCTGGAGAATCCCAAGTCAAAAGAGTCAAAGTGTTCTGACCAATGTGCATCTCTGAACTATGGAACCTCTGCTTTCTGCCTGGTTAGCTGATGGAGAACCTTGCCTCAAATCTTACTGAAAAAAGCAGAGCTCCCTTTTCTCCCCATCTCTTCTCCTGTCCCCAGCCCCAGATGAGGAAAAGGCCCTTCTCCTCGCTAAGGCTAACCCCTCTACATACACAAGTGGTCCCCGGGCCTCCACCTCCCTCCGGCAGATTTCACCCACTTTCTCGCTTACTTTCAGTCTCTTCCTGTCAGCTGGCTAGTAGCTTACAAACACAGCCATGTCTCTCACATCCTGGAAAGATCAACCCTACCCCCGGCTATCTTCCCCCGCATCTCTCCTCCCTCTCGTGACTAGCCTCCTAGGAGAAAGCTCTACAGTCACAGGGCCTCCACCTTCCTTTTCCTCACTCTCTTCAGCTCTCTGGCCTGCTTCCCACCTCACCATCCAACCAAAATGGCCCTGACACCACTCAAGATGTCTTCACTGCCACGTGCACTGGCCTTTTCGGACGTCTGCAGACCATGACACTACTGGGCATCCTCTTCTCTCCAGATGACCATAACCCTGGATGTCCCACAGAGCACTGCGCTGTCCCTCGTCCCTTCTCCTCCTATACTATTTCACTTGGTGATCTCCTGAGCTCCTACGGCTCTGTGCGCCTCCAACCTCACATCTCCAAACGTCCACTGGACACCCTGAACTGGATTCCTATAGACATCTTCAACTTAACATGGACCAAACTGAGCTCACTGTTCCCCCCCAACCCTGCCCTCTTCCTAACTTCCCTGTTAGTAACGAGAGTCTTACCATCCTCCCAGGCATGCAGGCTCTCGAGCTAGGTGTCACCTCCCACCCCTCACTCTCTCTCACCCCACAGGGCTGACCTTTCGTCAAAGCCTGTGGATTTGACCTCCATTAACATGCCTCACATACGCCCCCTTCTCTGCTCTGACACTGCCACAGCCTGGCGCAGGCCCTCATCACCTCATGCCCAGATTATGGCAGCAGCCTGCTGGGGGGTCTGCCTGCCTCAGGTATCTCCTCTCCAATCCATTCCGCTGCCCTCGAGTGCAGGTCCAACCATGGTGCCCCCTACTCCATAAACTCCAGTGGCTCCCTCTCACCTCCAGGATCACATACGTCATCCTCTGGTTAGCGTTCGAAGCCCCCTGCCCACTTTTCCAGTCTCCCTCCTCCCATTATGTGCCCTGTGATCCAGTCACTCTAGCCTCCTCACTATTTCCAACACATCCCCTCCCTCTCCTGAGTCTGGGCATTTTTTCTGCCTGTCCCCTATGCCTGGGATGCCCTCCCTCCTCCTATCCACCTCCTGACTTCCCTCAAGTCCCAGCTAAAATCCTGCCTTCCATAAGAAGCCTTTCCTAAGCCTTCCCATGACTTCCTAGTACCTTGCTCTGCTATTTCTAGTTTATCCAATGTATACAGCCTGTTTGTACACAGCTGTTTGCATGTTATCTCCCACCTTAGATTGTGAGCTCCTCAAGAGTAAGCTCTGTCTTTTGGTCTGGCACGTAGCAGGCACTTAATAAACGTTTATTGACTGACCACTAATTGACACAAGTAATAATGAAAATGGCTTCCATATTTGAGAGTGCTGGACTTAGAATCAGGAGAGATCAGGTTCAAGTCCCAACAATACAACCCTAGGCAGGTACTGACCCAAGCCTCGGTTTCTTCATCTTTGTATAATGCAGAAGCAGGTCACCATCTTTCAACCCCCAAATCTGCATATATTCACCTAGCGCCTACTCTCTAAAAGGCCAGAGCTTCCATATTCTACCACCTACAAGTGATTTCCTGAGAGTGATAAAAAGAAACAAAAACTCAGTTGTCAACAGCCAATGACATAATTATCTTCCGTATCAAAAAAAGGTGCCTTTAAAGCAATCTTCTAGCAAACCTTTTCCTCACAAGTCAAAAGGTGATAATGTCAATTTTTACATTAATCAACTAATTAACTATTCCCTGAAGAGGCAAAAATGTTTTTCAAAACAACAGAATAAACAATTTCTGTTTGTCTTTTGCAGGCAATGAATACAGCAACATTATAAAATTTACATTTAATGTTGCATGGATGACTCAGGCATTCTGAAATGTGTTAAATAAAAATTGAATTTCTGGCAGTTCTTTTATGTAATCAAATGCCACATGTTGCTGAAGCCTGGACAGACAATGTGCAGCCAATGTGAAGAGTTAATTCAAGTCTCTTGCCTATTTTGCATAAAAGCCCTCATCCACATCCACGGCCCATTAGATAAAGTTACTGTAAATAAGTTTAGCCTGCCTTATTCATGAGTTAAAAAGGAAGTCATTTCTCTCCCACATACATATAAGAAAACATATACTTTCCAAACTCAGTGCACTGAAGCATTCTTGTCAGGCTTCAGGAACAGAAATAAAATGAAAACTTTAAGATTAGGCACC